TGTGTGTGTGTGTGTGTGTGTGTGTGTGTGTGTGTGTATTCTTTGGCTACTCTATTCCCTATGCTGTACTTTATATCCCCATGACTATTCTGTGACTACAGATTCGTACTTCTTAATCTCTTCACCTTTTTCACCCAACCACCCAACTCTCCTCCCATCTGACACCCATCAAAACATTCTCTGTATCTATAATTCTGTTCTGATTCTGTTCCGTTTGATTATTTTGTTTTTTTTTTTAATCAATTGTTGATAGATATGCATTTACTGCCATTTTATTGTTCTTTTTTTTTTTTCTTCTTTTCTTCTTAAAGAAGACCCTTTAACATTCCATATAATACTGCTTTGGTAGTGATAAACTTCTTTAGCTTTTCTTGTCTGGGAAGCTCTTTATCTGTCCCTCAATTCTAAATGACAGCTTTGCTGAGTAATGTTGGTGGTAGGTCCTTGCTTTTCATCACTTTGAGTATTTATTGCCATTCTTTTCTGGCCTGAAAAGATTCTTTTGAGAAATCAGAGCTCCAATGTAGGCAACTAACTGCTTTTTTTTCCCCTGCTTTTAAGATTCTCTCTTTGTCTTCAACCTTTGGTATTTTAATTATGATGTGTTTGGGTGTGGGTCTCTTAGGATTCATCTTGGTTTTGAGTCTATGTGCTTCCTGGACTTGTATGTCTTATTTCCTTCATCAAGTTAGGGAAGTTTTCTATCTTATTTTTTCAAATAGGTTTCCAATTTCTTGCTCTTTCTCTCCTCCTTCCAGCACTGCCAGCTGGAAGTGCTGGAAAGAGGAGAGAAATGTTGGAGCGAATGTTGGTACGCTTGAAATTGTCTAAGAGGCTCCTTATAGCATCCTTGTTTTTTTTTAACTCTTTTTTTTCTTCTTGCTGTTCTGAATGTTTGGTTTTTGCTTCCTTATATTCCTCATTGTTGATTTGATTCTTGGCTTCACCCACTTTACTGTTGATTCCCTGGAAACTAAATATCCTTAGTTTCTGACTAGATATTTTTTGCTGTTGAGGTCCTCACTAAGTTCCTTGAGCACCCTTATAACCACTGTTTTGAACTGTGCATCTAGTAGATTGCTTGTCTCCATTCTGTTTAATTCTTTTTCTGGAGTTTTGTCCTATTTTGTCATTTGGGACATGTTTCTTTGTCTCATTTTGGCAGCCTCCCTGTGTATGTTTCTATGTATTAAGTAGAGCTGCTATGTCTCCCAGGCTTTGTAGAGTGGCCTAATTGTAGTAGGGATCCTGTAGGGTACAGTGGCACAGCCTCCCCTATTGCCCAAGCTGGGTGTTCAGGGTGCAGCCAGTGTGTGGGCTGTGTACACCCTCCTGCTGTAGTCTAGCCTTGATTGCTATTGGCACGTTCAAGGTCTGCCACCAACTGTGTTCTGTCAGGGTCACATAGCATAAGCTACAAAGCAGCCTGCAGGTGACTACTACTTGGTTTCTAAGCCCACCTCACGCTGGGCTTAGAGGTGCCCAGATGAGACTACCAAGGCTGGCTGCTGCTAGGGCAAGTTAGTGAGGGGTACACAGCTCACTGAAGCTAGATGCTGCTTGTTTGAGAGAATTTAGGAAAATCTGAGGCATGGGCCAAAACAAGCTATTTGTATGAAAAGCCACTGGAAAAAGCTTGGGTTGGCCCAAAAGTTGGTTGGGGCAGGGCCTCAGGGAATCACCAGGGCAAGGCAAATCATGTGAGCCAGGTTGATGGAGTCTCAGATATGGTTCCTGCCTGCTGGCTGTGTAGCTCTGTGTGAGGAGGGCTCAGAAAAGGAACAATGGCCTCTGCCAGTACTTTTGTCTAGAAGAAAGCTGCCCCTCTGTTCTGTTCTTGCCCTGATGCTGGACAATTCAGTTCTTACATGTCTGACTCTGGTGTCTTTCAATCTGCTATCTGCTGACCCCATGCTGGAGCTCAGAGGGAATAAGTCCAGGTAAGTGTGCATGTGCCCTTTAAGAGGAACTTCCTGAGACCCCAGCAGTTTCTATCTTCCACAGCCTTAATCCCCGCTGGTGTTTACAGCCAGCAGTTATGGGGGCTTATCTTTCTGGCACCTGAACCCTGGGCTGGGGAAGCCTGGTGTGAGGCTGGGACCCTTCATTCCTGAGATATTCCTCCTGATTTTTATCTGCCACACATGGATGTAGGACCAGCCCATTCTGCATCCTTGGCCCCTCCTACCAGTATTCACATGGTTTCTCCTTTAGTTCTATACTTATAGGATTTCCATTCAGTTCGATTTCTGATGGTTCTGAACGACGGTTGTTCTATAGTTTAGTTGTAATTTTGATGTGGTTGTGTGAGGAGGCAAACTGTGCTGCCATCTTGACTGGCAGTCCGTGCAGCATGGTCTTTGCCTTTTTTATCTCTATCCTTTATGCCTCTTATTGTGCTTTTATGAACATATTCTCCTTGCAGTTTAGTCCACATTTCTGAAAAGGCTTCTCTTTTCCTTGTATTTCTTTCCCATGTTGTATCAGTTCCATTTCACGTCCTCCTTTGTCTGGCCACGTCTTGTTAGCGTACTGTGTTTCTGCGCTGTGGTATTTCTTCCTAGCTTTGGCTGCTTTCTTAAGTTTTAGCTACATACCACCTACCTACCTACCTACTTATTTATCTAGCTACCCGCCTGCCTATCAATCCACTTTTGAGTATACATTACAATTCTGATCTCCTTTGTGGCAATGTTTTTTATGCATTTTCATCATGTATAGGGAAGTTATTCTATTTTTCTTCCTTTTCCTTAAGGTATTTTTGTATGCCCAACTGGATCATTTGGGATGAGATGAGGTTCCATAGAGAGTGGGAGCACTGGTTGGTTGGGTCAGGGAAGCCTTCCAAGCTTTACATACTGCTTCTCTTACAGCTTCTTCTCTGGCTCTCTAAATCCAGCTGTGTTCAGAAGGGCTTCTACCTACGGTTCTAAGTTTCCTAGATATCACCACAACCCTGATCTCAAGGCGATGTCCTCACTTTCACTAGTCATATTTCACAGGGTTTTCATGAGATGTCACCTCTGTATTTTCTCAAGCCCTTTCCAGGTCTCTTCACTTCCCCAGAGATTTGCCCTCCCTAACCTGGACCCACTCACAAGTTTCCTCTCAGCGTGGTTGGGTGGGCCCTTTTTACTATTCCTAGTCAGATGAACAATAATGAGATGAATTCCCAAGACAAGGCCAACCATCTGAAGATTGGACCTTCTCTTTTGGAAATAAAAGCCAACCAGGAAAAAACGGAAACCTATAATTGCTCATTATTACTCATAATACTTCTGTGCAGAATCCTATCATTAATAGTATGGTGTATTTCTTCTGGCCTTACTGATGCAGAGTTGAGATATTGTTTTGTATACTGCTTTTGATGTTGTTGAACTTTTAAAATTGTAAAATACATTATTTAATTAATTTCCCAAACAGTTATTGAATTTACTGGCTACTATGAGCTCAGTGCTATTCTAGATGCTTGGAATATATCAGTGAATGAAAAGAGGAAAAAAGAATCCCCACCCTTTTTGAGTTTATAGTATGGTCAGAGGAGATAGACAATAACCAATAAATGTGATAAATTATACAGTCTGTTAAAGGTGATTTTGTATTTGGAAGAAACAATAAAGCTAGGTAATGAAAATCAGGAATGTGTAAGAATGGATGACTAACAATTTTAAATAGTCAAGTATGCCTCCTTAGTAAGGTGACATGTTGATATTTGGGGGGAAATTATAAATATATATGAACAATTAATAATAACAAAGCAAACACCATGTAAGTATCACCCAAGTTACTATATAGAACATTAACAGAATATTATTAGTATCAGACTTAGAAGTCCCCAAGTGTCCCAATCCCTTAGATACAATCACTAATCTCACTTTTGTTATAATTCTTTCCTTACTTTTCAATTCCTGATTACAGTCTATGCATGCACCAAACAGTGTAAGTTTGCCTGTTTTAAACTTTATATAAATGCAATCATATTAGATACTTACTTGTGTTGAGCTTCTTTCACTCAATATGTATGAAACAGGAAAAATAAAATCTATTCATTGCATTAGGACACATTTGTATCAGAGCAATTTTAAATTAAACTTTGTTGAAGTTTTTAAAAGTAAATAATTCAGGACTAAACCTTATGGTCCCTAAAATAACATAGACTCACAACATATATTTACATTATTATGTATATACATACATATATTTCACCCAGTACTATGAGTATTTACACACAGCCAGCCAATGTTTCCATCTCCTTGTCTTGGTTTGTTAATTTTCCAACATACGAAACAATGTCATCCATCTATTTACCCACTTATCAGACCCCTTTAATCATTGTCCTGAATACATGCTTTTGAGCCCAGAGGTCCTAGATCTTATTCCCCACACTTGGAGCTTCATGCCCTCAGACTACCTTCCTCTTTAAAATCCACAGAGCTCCTTGCCTTCCACCCAGGACTCTAGCCTGCTGGTGCTCTCCCCACCCCTGTCCATAAGCAATCGGTGTGGCTGGTGGGGCTGAGGGTGCATACTGAGAGACTGGCAGTCAGGATGCAGACAATGGGTTGGTGAATGGCCAGGTGTGGGAGTTGGTACAATGAGAATGGCTTTCTTGGGCAGAGAAACTGCAGGGTACATTCAGGATTAAACAAGAGAGAGGCAGGTTGACACTGGTCTCTAACTGAACCAATAAATGAACTACACTTGACCATGAAGCCTGGACATTAAGGATATAGCCTGGAGATTATTCTGCATTTTTTAAAAAACATCTTCATTGTATCTTATTGTGCAGATGAAGTGAAGTTTATTTGGTGAGTGGAAGGATGCTACTTTCGGAGAGGCAGGTGCTATTTCTGCCAGTGAAACCCTGTACAGCTTTACTCTCTGAACGACTAGCATTAGATACATGAAAAATGTATCACTTTCTTAAACATGGGCATCTGCACCCAGTAAGCCTCTGTTCCCATTTGAAAGGGAATCTTTAAAACTAAATGACCACTTACCTTGACTTTTTCTTCTAACCTTCCCATGCGAATATTGCCTTTTACAATTTTGTCAAGAACTCCATGTTTTTCACTTTCTAAACATTTGGCCTAAGGAGAAAGATGAAAAGGAAAATAATGGCCTCTCAATTTTACAGAAAAATTAAAAGAATAAAAAGTTCTCCTGAAAGAATATTATTCCTACTCACAAATGACTGCAATTCTGCCACTCGCCTTGGCCCAGCCACTCTGTCCCCACCCAGATGCCCACCCACTGTGTGAGGGCAGAACTTGGCCCATGGCTGGGAGGGGCTGGAGCTGGTACGACACGCTGGGTCCCTCCTGGGCACAAACGGGAGACCTGCGCCCCCAGGACAAGGAGGATGGAAGGGCTTCTAGCATATTTCTCTGTTCTTAGGGAACACAGCATTCCTTCAATCATATCCAAAGAACAAGTGCCAGGATGCAAGTAAACTTTAACTTGGTTTATTTGAATAATTACAAAGTAAGGATAACTTAATATGAATGCGCCATGCCATTCTCCAAACAAGTGTCAGAGGCGGTCATTTCCAAGATGGACGTCATTTGAAGTTATTTAGATTAATATCTATATGGGACATAAACTACTGTGCACTGTAAGTTGACTATTTCAAGTAGTGAAAAGTGAGCACTCCTTCTAAAGTAGACTAGTAATAGCAATTTGATTATCATAAAAAAATAAGACAAAGACAGTTAAATGACTTGCCACAAGCCACATAAAAAAACCCATCCAATAGGCAGATCAGAAATTAAGATGCCAATATCAATGAATTAAGACACAAGGGGCTCTCACAAGGCTCAGAGACCAGAAAGAGGAAGGTGGGGGCGCATGGCTCACAGTCTCAGGACAATGAGCAGGCAGCCAGTACCACCCTGAACCCCTACTAGAGGGGCTGGCCTTGGGGCTCCCAGGAAGAAGAACCCTCCAGGGCCAAGGGGACAGCAGTGCCTGTGTGTACACAGATCCCTCAGGGCAGGTGGGCCAGGGCGGGATGAGAGCAGCTTCTTTCCCCACGTCTGAGCGGTCTGGGGACTCTAAACTCAGGCCTGGCTTTCAGGCCACAGTAATAAGGGTCAGGGTGGGAGGAGAAAACACATTTCATTAAGTCGTAATTTGTAACTTTTAAGTATTTGACCATACAGAATGTGGCCTCCATTTGTGTTTCTTTCATTTATTTATTTTTTTAATTGTATTTTTTCCATTACCATTTATTCCCCTTATCCCCCTCTTCCCCACAACCCATTTATATTTCTATCCTGGGCTTACAAATATGCGGGTCACCTAAGGGGGACCACTTGAGGGGCAGGGAGGATCTTGACTTCATGGAAGATCGTGGAAACCTGGGACGCTCTCTGGCCCCATGGGCCTGAATCCTATGTGCCCTGCCCTGCAAACAAGATGGCTTTTTCTTTACAGTAGCAATGACGTGGCAGCTGGGTCCCCATGAATGTGTGCTAGGTGAATGGGTTTGTTTGGCACTTTATATTTTTCAACAAGCCCTCTGTTTGCCTCTTGGTCTACCAGTCATTGGGTAAGCCCAGGAGGCAGAGCACAAGGTGCCCGGCGCTGCTTCAGAGAATGCCAGAGTTCAGCACTTGGGCTGCGACAGTGACTTCTCAGGAGAGGAACTACTGGGTCAGGAGGTCTGCCTGCTTTTAAGGATCCTACCACGCTGTCAAAGGGCTTCTAAAAGACTTGAGGAAAAACTTAGAAATCACCAGTAATGTATAAACCAGGCATACCATACTCCACTAGCAACTATTGTAATTAAATTCTCTTCTAACATTAATAAAAGTATAGAATGGTATCTCAAGACAGGCTAAATGAGCATTTTTTCTGTCACAAGATCAACATTTCCCTCCAAGAGCTGGATACTATTTATATTTCTTCTTATATAAACAATGGCTAAAATCTATGTGCATTTTCCTTTAAAAAATTTTATTTATTTATTTATTTTTTATTAGATAGAGGGGAAGGGAAGGAAAAAGAGAAACATCAATGTGTGGTTGCCTCTTGCATTCCCCCTATTGGGGACCTAGCCTGCAACCCAGGCATGTGCCTTGACTGGGAAATGAACCAGAGACCCTTTGGTTTGCAGGCCAGTGCTCACTGAGCCACACCAGTTAGGGCCTGTGCTCATTTTCCTATGTAGGAACTTAAGACCCTTGTAGCAAAGGGGAATAAGCCTGTGACAACTCCTGACAGACTCTCCATACCTCATTCACCTGGAGAAGGGCCAAGTTACTACCAAGTTTGCCATTGTCTGACTCTCTAAGAAAGTCCTCAGGTGTCTTTTGTAATGATATCTATTAAACTTTTGACCCTACACTACCAACATTGCTTAAAAAAACATGTTTAAAAGCAGATAAGCAATATGTATTCAATGTAGAAAAATCATAAAAGGCAGATGAATTAAATGATTTTTAAATTTCTTGCCTTGACCAGTGTGGCTCAGTTGGTTGGGTATTGTCCCCCAAAGCAAAAGGTCACCAGTTCAATTCCTGGTCAGGGCACATGCCTGGGCTGTGGTTCAGTCTCTGGTCAGGGCATGGACAAAAGGCAACTGATCGATGTTCTCTCTCACATTGATGTTTCTCTCCCTCTTTTTCTCCCTCCCATCTCCTCTAAAAATAAATAAATAAAACCTTTAAAATTTTTTCTTAATTTTACCATGATTAAAAGAAAAATCTCTTGTAATCCATCCACTTGAATATCCAGCTCGCTGTAGCATTTTTGTGGTAAATCCTACCAGACTTCTCTCAAAGCATATGGCTCGGCATAGCATCTGTATTCTCTCACTGCACAATCTGTCGCAGACATTTGCTAAAATTAATGTGGAGATGCCAAGGATCAGGTCTATGGCATCACTCCTGCTGGTGGAACAGAGCTCCATCAGCTGGGACCACCGGTAATTCCCTCGCCACCCTTCCTGGGGACTGGTGCGTTGGACACAACCTGGCATGAATACCACTGCCCTTTGAACTATGTCCTCAGGATGAACTCTATGTAACCGCTGATCCTTGTTTCATCTTCACACAGGGAATATATTAACTCAGCTTTACAGAGAGAAAATGCGTCTATGCAGTCAAACCTCAATTCCCAAATGTCTTTGTTCTCCAACAACTCAGTTCCTGACCAAGCTGTTCACAGAAAAATGCCTCGGCTGTCCCATAAAATGTAGGTTCTTGATTCTCAACCTGACCACTCTTTTATGCTGAGGCCTGCATGATCAGTCACGTGTCTCTCAGCTGACAAATAAAGGAGATTTGGTTTTCGAACAAATCACTTCTGGAACAGTTTTCCGGAACAAATTAAGTTTGAGAACCAAGGTTCCACTATACATGTGATACACACCTGATGACTACAGTTCCTACGTAAGTTAAATGGGATGATTCCATTAGCCTACCTTCTAAAATATCATATGCCATTATTTCAAGGTTTGGCTTATTCAACTTTTTAAAAATGTTTTTTCCCTCCATAGTTGAAAGATAAAATTTTGGAAAATATGAAAATTTGCTGTTGAAATTTAAAAAGATGAAGTTTATGAATGATTTTGTAAAAAAACCCCCCAAAACAAAGAACCCCCTAAGTTATGTGTGATGTCAACTTGTAGTGCAGTTGAAGCAACTGAGGAAACTTACCAAATACACAAGATTGTCACGCTCCTGAGTCACGTTCTCTGCCAGGCCAACAACATTTGCCAGGTACTGGTGAGCGGACATTTCATTCTCCATGGCCTTCTCCACCTGCTTTGTGAGGACGTCAATTTTTTTTTGAGATCTCCTAAAGAGTTCCACCAAATGGTGAGATAAAAAACATTAGCCTGGATGGCCAGGGCACCACGGACATCTGTGTCATGAAAGCAGCAAGCACACTAGCACTTACGTGTTGTTCTTCAGCCATCTAAACCTGTCAGTGTCAAGGTGAGAAGTGGCAACTGAATTGAATTTTAAGCCAAGCATAATTATTGACACAAAGTCAGGCCAATAGAAATCACAAATGCTTTAACACAATTAGTAGGCTAACTACATATTATTCTATTAAACTTTTGGCTGAGGTTCTGGAAGATACTTTTGAAAAGGAATCCAGCAATCCCAAAGTAGACTTTCAGGAAATGGTTAGAAAAGAACACCTAGAAGTTTCGGAGTCTTAGAGTCATCATTTTAAGTATCAACAATATGTGAGCTATTGACTAGAAAAATGTTAATGTTGGTCTTCAGCTTCTACTGTACTGTATCTTGATATCCAATAATGTCAATTATTTTTTTCTATTTTATAGCCAATATTAGAAAAAGAAAAGATAAAGAGTATTTTCCAATTCTTTTTTTTAACTATTAAAAAAAGCTTAAGGAAAAAATATATATAAAAACCTATTTATTTTCCGTGCCCGTGCGAGTTCAGCTTCCAGCACTTTGACTCTAGCCATCAGACTGTCCTTCTCTAAGAGCAGGCTCTTTTTCTGCACTTGCAGGACCACCAACTTTTCCATCAACTCTTCCATTTCGGCATTTTCTCTGTCATCTTCCCTCTGCAACTGGCTGATAGACAAAAACGTCACAGGCTCATATGCAGTACATGGAGGCTGCACTGAGGCAGCCACTTGCCAGGCAAGTGATAAACAGCCCAGCCCTCCAGCCCTAGCAGGTATTTTGGGGAAGGCCTCTGCCCAACATCTCCCCATCCCAGCCCTTGGAGGACCGGGGATGGAGCTCCTAGAGGACAGGAAAAAGGGCATGGCTGGCACACACTTCTTTGATAGTAGTGATTTAACCTCTTTTTCTGCCCACAGTTTTTGCTTACGTCTGTGTACATATACTTATTTATGCCCTATTCCTTCCAGAAAGAATTTAAGATAGCTCAATTTTTTACATAATTATTTCATTGCCCCCCTCAAATTCTATTCTATAATAAATTTTATATAATAAAGTAATTTCATGTTTTTATAATAAAAAAAGAACAAGAAGAGCATACAATTTCAATACATAATTCTGGCAAAATGATGCTCAAGAAAGGAGTTACTTCTTCACTGGCTGTTCCGGTCAATTTTCCTGTAACAACCAGGAAAGAAGAGAATAACCAGGAACAGCCACGTGCACAGAGGCTGCCAACACTCTGAGACATGGGGGCTCCCCGCACACAAGGTGGGCTGGCTGGAGAACAAGCCTCTGGCTGCACGTGTTCGGGGGCTGCCTCACTTGCCACACAAGCTCAGTGACTTCAGCCTGGGTGGGCTCCCTGAACAACCAAGTCAGGGGTTTTGCAGATGGTTTCCATTGCTTTCTAGTTTATAAGTTTTCGTCAGTCAAAGAGCAGAGGACATACCTGGACAAAAACCAAAAAGTTGAGGTTTGAATTAAACTGACCTTTAAATTTATCATTTTCTTCTGTCTTTTGTTTTGATTTTAAAATTCTATTTTAAAAGTATTTTTTGCCAAAGTAATACACTTTCCTGAAACCAAATCAACCAGTAAAAAAGGCTGAATGAAAAGCAACCAGAGACACCACAAAAGGCCTGGGAGGCACTGGCAGGTGTGCGCAGCCCCTTCAAAGAGCAGCGTCTAGAAAACGCATTCACTCTCTGGCCAACAGTCCCACCTCTAGGTGCATGTTTGGGGAAACTCTGATGACACGTCTGAGAAAGTTTACTGTGACAGTGCTTAAAGGGGCAAACACAGTAACAGTTTAAACATCCACTGATAAGCTACGTAAAATGCAGTATTTCATAGGATCAAATACCACCATGTAGCAGTTAAAAAGGATAAATTCTATATCTATTTCAACAGGGAAAGTTGCTTTAAAAATTGAGTGCAAAAAGTCAAGATATTAAAAGCATGAATTCATTTATGTAAACTTAAAACACACCAAAAATTCCATGTTATTCATGAAAACATGTAAAATTAAAAAAATAGATTGGAAATATGGTTCCAAATTTATGATAGTTGTTGCTTTTGGAAAGTGGGGGTGAGACTGAGAATAGTAGTTAAAAGGTGCTTCAGCTACATTTCTAACAATTTGTTTCTTAAGCAAAACAAACCAACAGAGGTGGAAATAATTCATAAAAAAGAAGAAAGTTAACAGTTACCATTTGGTGGGGAAAATAATTGCTTTGAAAGAAACTTTAACAAAATTTCTAGTGTTGTCCACTGACCACTAGATTCTCACTCCCCAGAGGACACTTCTACTGACTATTCTTTCTTTTTTGTAAGCCTTATCCAAGGACATACTTGTCATTGCTTTTAGAGAGAGAGAAGGGAGAGAGGAAGGGAGAGAGAGGAGCATCGATTGGTTGCCTCCCATACAGGCCTGTTCCAGGAACAGTGCCCAGACCCAGGATCTTATGCATTCAGATGAGGAGTCATGTGCCTGTGCCTGAACTGGGAATCGAACCTGCAATCTAGGTATGTGCCCTGACTGGGAATTGAAGGAGGATTCACCAACCATTTGGGCCACACCAGCCATTTTGGATTTCAGTTCTTCTGGTTAGAAACCATGACTTTTTAAAATCGTGAAATATAATTATATATATACATAATCATTATATATATAATATTCTTTATATATATAAAGCATATTAAAGATACATGCATATCTTAACAAATAATTATAAAATGAACATCCATGTAATTACCACACAGGTCAAGACGTAGAACATTTCCAGCACCCCAGATACTCCCGTGTGTCCTGCCGCCATCACAGAACTCCTCCCTAATCTTCTTTACAATGTCAGCACCTAACTGTGCATCACTGTGGTGTAGTATAGTTTGGCAGTATCAGAACCATATGTATAAAGGGAACCAAGATGTATGATCAGTATACTAAGGGACTATATGTACTCTGTCATTATGCCCCCAACTCACTCATTCTTGATGTGTGTGGCTGTAAAATATGTAATGGTATCAATATACCAACTCTCTGTACCATCTTCCTGCTGACAGTCACCCTGTACACTCTCACAGGAGTCTCTAGGGCACTGCTGTTCAAAATGTGGTCCTCAGATATAGGTTAGTCTCTAGCTGTCTCGTACTTATTCACAGTATAAATACAGAAACATACAGAATGGCTTCAAAACTTTTATTGGCAATTCAGCATTGCCATGACATCGTGCAGTGTGAGATGAGTGGACGTGTCTGAACAGTGGCTTGCATGTTGCCGAACTTGCAGAGGGCGGCATGTGGTAGGAGCTGCATATTTGTCACGTGCAGCAGGATTACATAACAATGTATGACTTTAAGGTTAGTTTGTCCATTGTAACTAAAAAACGTAAAACACAGAATTCATTTCTTTCATGAAAAACTAATTTAATTATTATTTCATTGGATAAATTGTTGAACTGAATTAATGATAAAAAATTAAAGAAGAATGTTGAAAATACAAACACTTCTGCTTCTGGCTTCTGGCCAAGAGAGAGTCACAGATTTACTCTTTACCTAGAAATCAGGCACAACAGAAGAAACAAGAGCTTTCAGATTTTGGACAACAGGCAAAGGAGAACTGTGACTCCTGGAAAAGGAAACAGCAATGTGAGTACTGTAGTTGCTCCAGATTACCGCCAGTCCACAGGGAGGGAAAACCCAACCAGAATCCAGTAGACTTGCTGAGCTGAGGGAGTCAGAGATTGGAGATGAGGAAGGGCAAGACAGCTAGAACTGCACAGCAGAAAGGAGGGAGTTTCAAAGAGAGAGAAAGAGCTCTGGAGATCTTGTAGGAAGGCCCCCACAAGTCTTTGGCTCAGTACAGATCTGTACATACCTCTGATGAAACTTCCCAAGGGCTTAGGAAAGAATCTAAAAAACAAACAGGCAGAACAATTCCTGAATTCACAGAGAACTGCAAAGAGTACATGAGCCAATCCAGAGTGGAAAGACCTTATAAGAGACATTAGAGGGAGCGTTCAGAGGCTACTATTGCTTTGTCGTGGGGCTAACTAGCCTTACTAAAGGCTGCTTTGGGCCTCTCCTAACTAAAGCAAGCTTCGAAAGATTCCAACTATTCTCCAGTAATTTGAGTGTGCTCCAGAACAAAATCTAATACTATTTAAAACAATGCTATATATCTAGCACCCAAGAACACAAAATTTGTAATATCCAACATCCAATCAAGCATGCAAATAAGCAATAAAATATGATCTATAATCAAGAGGAAAAATATCAACAGAACAGATCCAGAAGTGAGGGAGATGATGGCACTAGCAAAGGTTCTTAAACAGCTATTGTAAGTATGTTCCATATGTTCAAGACAACAGACAAAAACAGCATGATAAGAGAAATAGAAAATTTCAAAAAGACTCAAGTGGATATTCTAGAGAAGTAAATAATACATTGGATGAGAATAAAAACAGCTTAGACACCACAGAATAAAATTAGTGAATTTGAGGACACAGCACTAGAAATTAACCAGTTGAGGGAGACCCAAGATGGTGCCAGAGTAGGTGGAAGCTACACTCACCTCCTCCCGGGACCAAACTGGAATTACAACTAAATTAGAGAACAATCATCCTGAATAACCAACTGAACACAAGCTGGACAGAAGCCGTACAACCAAGGACCCGTGGAAGAAACCACATCACTGCAGTGAAGCTGGTAGGAAGTACGGAGGCACAAGAGGGCTGGCTGGGCTCCCACTGGTGGCAGCTGAAGTTGCAGAGGGATATTTCAGTGGCTGGGTGGGTCACCCCTGAGAAGTATGGGTTCTAAACCCCAAGCTGGGCTCCCCAGCCTAGAGCACCAGAACTAGAGAAGGATAACTACCAGCAGTGAAAAGCAGTGTGGTTTATGTTCACCAGGCAGAGACAACTACAGATACAGAGAGCTTCTTAAAGGGCCAACACACAAAATTTCATTTGCAGCCACTTACCCTGGGAGCTGGCAGAGGGAGGGCAGAGCAGACTACAGCCTTGCAAAAAGCATCTGGGGTTGGTGGCTGAGGAAAGAGAGCTGAAGGGCCAGGCACTAGGATTCCTATTCTTATTCATTCCCCATACTGCAGACGTCATCTTTCTTAGGCACTGCACTCCCCTCCCTAGAGCATCAGCTTGGGGGTAATCAATAGCCCCCACCTGCATGAATTACTCTGCCCCTCCCTGTGGAGATTAAACAGGGCTGATGAACAGTACTGCTAGAGGCTAAGTCATTGATTAAGACTATCAGAAAGCCTGCAAACAGCTGGATCTCTGGGAGCTGTGAGACTTTAGCTGACCCTCCCACAGGCCCAGTGCTGTAAAACCAGCTATGGTGCACAGCTTGGTCATTTCAGCACATACCCAGGCCAGCAAGGGAGCCATAAGCTGTAGATTGCCAATAACTCTAAACAGGTTGCACAGGGCCAGTCACAGGGAGTGTCTGACATAGGTCTGCATGAGAGTCCTTGCAGATGTACCTAATACACAGAAACAAACACAGAGGCAGCCAAAATGGGAAGACAAAGAAACAGGCCCCAGATGAAAGAACAAGAGAATTCTCAAGAAGAAGAACTAGATGAAATGGAGGCAAGCAATTAATCAGATATGGAGTTTAGAGTAATGATTATTAGTTCAACAGTA